CCTGTACGGGATTCGAACCACTGACCTCTGCGATACTAGTGCAGCGCTCTACCAATTGAGCTAACAAGCCAACTGGGAGCAGGCCGTTAAGTTGATTCGTAATAAACCCGTGATGATAAATCAGATACAATGAATATATGAAGTTCATATATTTTGAACTGCGGTATTAGATACGTATGATGCACGATCCTCGCAGTAGAGAGCGCTATTTATGCAATAGCGAAAATCAGACCTGTACGGGATTCGAACCACTGACCTCTGCGATACTAGTGCAGCGCTCTACCAATTGAGCTAACAAGCCAACTGGGAGCAGGCCGTTAAGTTGATTCGTAATAAACCCGTGATGATAAATCAGATACAATGAATATATGAAGTTCATATATTTTGAACTGCGGTATTAGATACGTATGATGCACGATCCTCGCAGTAGAGAGCGCTATTTATGCAATAGCGAAAATCAGACCTGTACGGGATTCGAACCACTGACCTCTGCGATACTAGTGCAGCGCTCTACCAATTGAGCTAACAAGCCAACTGGGAGCAGGCCGTTAAGTTGATTCGTAATAAACCCGTGATGATAAATCATATACAATGTATATATGAAGCTCATATATTTTGAACTGCGGTATTAGAGACGTATGATGCACCGGCCTCGCAGTAGAGAGCTCTACTTTCTCTAAGAACCCCGCATTCCGAAGTCGAGCCTGCGATCTTCAGCGCCGTAAACAACCTCGGGGGTCTCAGTTGATTTGCGTAAAGCGTTCTTACCTCCTTTAACAATTTTCAGTCTTGCTCACTATGAAATCTGATGATCCTGAGACGGACAAAACGGTGTCCATTAGTCAAATACAACCGCTTCTGGCTCGGAGTGTCCCTCGCGTGATCGCGCCGATTACTGACAAGAACAGTAGACACGAGAGAGAGCACGGTGGCGTTGCTAAGGCCACTATCATACATTCTGAAAGCGGCAAGAAAGACCGCAAAAAATTACGCAAGCTAGTCTCTGAACTTACTCTAATGGAGGTGAAGAAAGATAAAGGAAAAGACAGGAGAAGGAAAGCTGTTCGCGTGCCATATGTGGATACTTCGCGCGCGAGAGGAAGTTCTGATGTTGTGCGTCTTGCGATCAAAGAACTTGGTTGGCGAGAGGTTTGTGCTGAACTAGATTTAACACCTCTTCTTACAACTGTTTAAGTTTCGCATATGAAAAGCAAAATCTGCAAAGCATATTGAATTACTGAAATTTTAAGGGCAGTGTTCATGGTAACTGTATTGTTTTGAATCCGCTCTTGCGTTTGAAACTTGTTCTAATAATGGAATCTTGATCAAGATCATGCATATATGCCATATATTTCAACAGTACACGTCACTTTAGATTTACTTGGCTATATTGTTACTTTGACAAACACTAAACCAGTTCCAATAGACTAGGTTAAAGGTCATGCAAATATTATTTTTGCGTATGGCACTATTTGATGCATTCAGAACTAATAGTTAAAAGGCGTTAATAGACTAGTGACTATAGTGCTACTACGAAAAAAATTGGCTAATTTTAAATTCTGAGTGACGAAGCGTAACCATAATACACATTTAATTATCGTATAACTGTTGAGATCTGTTGAGGACTTAAAATCTTCAAAACATGATGTTTCGAAACGTACACTCATATAGAATTGGAACAGCTGTTAGCATCAAACAGAACAGTTGTGACTTGGTAGAAGAGCAAGCACTCAAGGCCGGTTATTTAAATAAAGTTCAGCTGCTGTCTAACAAAACCGCGTTCTTTATACTATCTTCATTTTAATGGAACCTTTTTATCTGAACATTTATTTTGGGGAACAGTGTCAAGAAGGCTGAAAACTGAGAGTCAAACAACACTCATTTGATCAAGTCAACCCTCTAATATAGAAAATACCTAAGGCCCATCGCCCGGGTAAAACCGCGCTTTGGGTTAGACCTCGTTAAAATAACCGGCCCATAATTTAATAAAATTCAAAGTGATCTATGAAGTTTCGGTGTTCATCTCAACACATCTGTTCAACTTCCCTCCCCGTACGTGGCTTTAATTTGTCGAAAAGAAATCCAGAGTAAAACTGATTTAAAGAAGGAGTGATCGAGAGGCGTTGTGTAATAAATGCGATACGAACAATAGGAAACGATCACCAACATAATAAGGCGAACAATTGGAAATGTTCACCTCGATTCTCGCAAATTTATAAGATTGGACGCTTCACTTTGTAATAAAAACAAAAAGAAACTAAGAAGTAAACATCATTTATTCGTTTCGTACATTTCCTGGGTGTTTTCGTGCGGCTACTCGCACCACGATTTCTCTATCCCTAATCTTGGGCTCTAATGAGTTTATTCCGTAAGAGGCCTTTTTCTTGATTGTTTGTTTTCATGTTTTTAATGGACACTTTTTATTAGTACCCTACAGGTAGACGGAATGGTTGCGACTTCTACTGGCTTGGTGGACATTTTGAGATGCCTGAATATCCAGAAACAGGATGGCTGAGCAAATTCTTTGGTAAAATGTGTTTCATTGTTTGCAAGTTTGTGTTTTTAATGTGTGCACTACAGTTATTCGCAGTAAAAATTTGCAGTGAAACACTTCATGTGTGGCAACTACATTTTAGCACCAACATGAAATGCAGCAGCAAAAATAAATAAATGAGTTTAGCAATCTTTTGAAATCATTCCATCAAGATTGTGATTAGTGAAATTATATGCGGTATAGGCCTTTTTTTATTTAAACAGCAGTAGCCCATGTTCAAGAAGTGGCCATCAAGAATTTGATTGGAAAAGGGTAAGGGATGTGTTGTTGGTTTAGTATATGGGATGAGCCTGCCCCTCTCCCCCTCCCCCCTCATACACCCTCACACACTGCTTCCTCTACACTAAGGAATTAGCCTTGACTTACAGGTACCTACTCTTGTGTGACCTGTTACTATAATTACCATTCTCTGTCCTGATTACCTTTTCTATGCTTATCTATAGTTTTGAATTACTTCCTTTAAGGCATGTCTGAAGCTCCCCACAAAGTAGAACTCACAAGACACATCAACAGACTGCATTTTTTATTTCCTCATGAGTTTACCTTTTATCCAAAGACTTGGATGCTGCCAGAAGAATTTGGTGAAGTCTCTGCCTTCATGTCCAGAGCAAAGAAGCCACCCACTCTCATTGTCAAGCCTGATGGAGGATCTCAGGGGGATGGGATTTTTTTAATGCAGAACATTCATGATGTACATGTGAGCACTGCTCTTGCAAGGCCCTGTGTTGTGCAGGAATATGTTGCAGAGCCTTACCTACTTGAAAAGTTTAAATTTGATCTGAGGATTTATGTTGTGTTAAAGAGGTTGGAACCTTTAGAAATCTTCATTTGCCGAGAAGGCATGGCACGTTTCTGTACTGAACACTACCAGCCACCAACACAGAAGAACATCTTCAATACTTACATGCACTTGACAAACTATTCATTAAACAAACACAGCTCAGGATATGTTCAAAGTGATGCAGAGGATAAGGGAAGCAAGCGCAAGTTAAGTGCCGTCTTCAAGCAATTGGGAAAACAAGGATGCAACATTCCCCTGTTGTGGGCTGAAATAGACCAACTTGCGTGCAAGACTATCATTGCTCTTTTACCAATACTGAAACTTCAAACCCAGGTCCTAAGTGCAGAGCTGAAGCAAGATCTCAGATATTTTCAAATCTTAGGTTTTGATATTCTGTTAAACAAAGATCTCAAGCCAATCTTGCTTGAAGTGAACTCCAGTCCAAGTTTAAGAATTGACTACGAAGAAGAGACAGTCCCTGGTAAAGTTGACTACTTTGTTAGCAAAACAGACCTGGAAATCAAACTTCCTATTGTGAAAGATATCATGTCATTGGCCTGGCAACAAAAGAAAATGTAAGTTAACAGGATAAAGGGCTGGCCAACTTTATAGGAATGGCTAGAAGTCAGGTGTAATGTTTAATTATCAACTAAGTGGGAGGGCTGGACAAGAATATGTTTAGTTCAAGCTCACATCAGACTGAGGATAGCAATATTTGCATGACCAAGAGAGACAATTTCTTGTTAGAAAAAAACAGAAAATTTTCAACCCTCATCGCAAAAGTTGTTGTGCAACATGCCACCTGCTCTTTAACACAAAGATGAAAATTCATTAATTTAGGTTATTTTTAATGTTTTTTTAACTTTCTGTTCCAGGGACACACTACCAGAAAAGTCAGGTTGTCTTTACCAAATTTACCCTAAACTGGCTTCCCATTTAGATCATCTCAGAGTGGTGGAAAGATGTGTGACACTTTTTAGACATTTTGTGGGGGTCCGCACATCCAACAAGATGGGACCAACCTCCTTTAGAATGATGGCAAGGTAAGACATATTGTGCTAAATAGAGGCAGAATGAAGTACGCTAAAGCTGGAATTTATTGCATCTTAGTAGATGCATCAACCAATACATGGGGTAGACCAGGGTAAAAAACTAAGATTTAGGGTAAGACCAGGTAACCAACCTCCTTTAGAATGATGGCAAGGTAAGACATATTGTGCTAAATAGAGGCAGAATGAAGTACGCTAAAGCTGGAATTTATTGCATCTTAGTAGATGCATCAACCAATACATGGGGTAGACCAGGGTAAAAAACTATGGCTACTTTGTTCACAGATCTCCATCCCATTACTGCACAGTATGAAAGAATTCTTTTCTTTGATTTCAGTGTGCACAGGTGGAGATAAGTTATCGGAATTATATGACTGTGCAGTGTGTGGTACAATTCCTCTCCATTAAGTCCCGGATTCTCAACAGGACACTAGTATCAATAGCAATATTGTAGTTCTCTGCACTGTTATTTACTAAGGGATTTAGTTACCAGTACATTGAAATTTAGCCAGAAATAATTACTGATCCCCATGAAATTCTATTGTTCTCTCTCTGCATTAAATCAACAATTGTAGTCTTTAAGATGACAAAACGACTGTATGAGGAAACGGAGGCAGTCCTTTTTGTTAGCAGGGAAATTATCAGGGGTAATATAATTAAACGTGCTAAATAAGCATGCTGCAATATCAAAAATATTGCAGTGTCCACGCTGCAATATTAAAAATATTGCTTCTTCCACTCCTCAAAGACTTTCAAAACCCACGCCCATTTCCAGCGGCTGGTGTCTGAAACCCAACTTTTGTCAAATTTCTCGCATTCTGAAGCTGTAATTGGCATTCTAAATCTTTGCTCTATTTAAAAAAAGAAAATGGAAACGCCATCTTTGGAAGCTGATAAAGAATTAAACCACTGACAGAAATGTCCAAACGTTACACTACATTATCTTCGATTTCTACTGAAATAACTGCCTTCGTAGAGCTCTGTGTAATAAATAATCCTTCGTCTTCCGACGAATCCATCCTCTTTCTGAACCCAGGTTTGCACTGAGTAAAATGACTGAATTCTCTGGCTTATAAAGTATGCAAATTAGCAGTGTTACACGCCTTGCACTAATTAATTCCATCATTAGAACTGTTTTGAACAACTATAACAACGAGCTACAATAACAACCCTCGGCACAATTAAAATCTACGATATAATCATCTCAACAAAGAACAATAGCAATGAGCATCACAATTATCACACATAGGTGCGACTAAAATCGAAGATCCAACACACAGAGAGAACAATAGGATTTCATGAGGATCAGTAATTATAATAGATAATTACTTCGGCACATGGCAATTATGAGAAATATTGCAGCCAGCTGCAATATTTCTCATAATGCCATATGCCGCAGTAATTATCCATTAAATAGTTATGCTGGTAATGCTGGCATCTGCTTCTGGCAGAGTATAGAAGAATATTACCTAAAGACAGATTGAAGTAACAAATCCTTCAAAACAAACTAACTTATTTTCAGGCATAGCCTTGGGTGTAATTCAGTGGGTTCCATCTTGAATTTAGTGCTTACCATAAAATAAGGGAGCATTCATTTTTTATGGGAGGGGGTGGGCTGGCAAGATTTTCAGTGAGATTAAACAAAATATCCTGACCCTGCTCTATAAGAATTAAAAATGTCATGACCCCTCTTGTGGTAATTGCAAAAATAGCTAGCTCCCCTCCCCCCTAGGACTATCAAAGCAGCTAGGTTAAAAGAAGTGAAAAATATCATTGAAATATTTAAATTTATTGCAAAAAACCTTAACAATACAATTCTAGAGTTTAAAATCTAAAGTTCATACAAAATGGGTAACATAATACAGAGCTTTCAATAAGACCCGGCACCTGCCGGCGCTCAGGCAGGTATTTTGTTGTGAATCGCCGGGTATTTTTCACCGTGCTCAAGTCGCGGTTACCACGCTCAAGTCGTACTCAAGTCGCTCTCCGGTGGGTGCTGTACCGAGGTAGCCACCTAGTTCAAATCTTATTGAGAGCACTGATAATATAAGAGATATCCTACGGTACTGTGTCCAGTTTGGTATGGTACTGTGTATAGCTTGAAGAAGAATAGCTTTCCAGTGTATGCAAAGTTAGCTATTGTTCCCTATATCTTGTATGGCGGGTAGTAGAAATGTTCTACAAACTTAAACCCACATTTGTTGATGATTTGTCGCAACAAAAAGCTTTTGACCCCCTTACATTATTCCCAAATTTTTCTAATGACCCCCCCATTATTCTTGCCAGCCCTTCCCCCGCCATAAATAATGAAGGCTCCCTAAACTGGAGTAGAACCTACATTTCTAAATTAGACTGTCCATAAAGCAAAAGGGTAAAACCCAAAACTCTCACTAACCAAAGATTAACCCTATACACACAACATCAGTATGCATAAAATTATTCCCTTTACTGTCCTCTGTACAATCCCTAAGGTGCTGAACAAGGAGAATTTGTTTAACAATCAAGAGCCTTTTGTTCAATTTGTGATCATTTCCTTTATTCTCTTTACCATGAGGTGTAACTTAGTGGTGATATAGTGAGGAGAAATTAGAAGTTGACATTCGTAGGAGTCAAGAGTTTATGCTTGGTTAATCTAACCTGATATAGTCCTCTTTTCTTTTTTTGTCAGGCGATGTCATTTAACAGATTTTGGCTTCACTCTTGCTTCATTTGACATAATGTTCATCAACATGAGTCGTCGTCATCCAGGTTGTGAATCAGGTCGTGCTTCTCTTAATTTCCATGGGTTTTGCGAATCGCTGATTGCAATAGGACACAAGAAATTTGCATTGACTATGCGGAATGAGCCTGTGCAGATTTTATTGAATGTTTTGAAACATTGTGAACATCACTTGGAAAAGAATGTGAAAGGCTCACAACGCCGAAAGATGCCTGAGCCTTACTTGAGACAGTCGCTAAGTGATAGAAAACTGTCAAGCTGCTTTCAGTTCTCTTTAGCTACTAGCTCATTGTTTTAAATGCAGATAGGCTTATTCCAAGTTCTGCATAAGCATCAGCAAGCATAATTTGCCAGGGTTTGGGCAAGGATTTTCTGTTTCTCTCTGCATTACCCCCTTGTTTTTTCTTTTACTTCCTCACTCATCCCTACAAACTGAGTGCATGGAAAAGACTAAATAATTATTGTAATGACTTGAATTTTGTGCCACTGAATTCACTTAAACACACAAAACTAATTTTGTGTTAAGGCAGGCCACTGCCAGGTTGAATTGAACAGAGTTCAGTAGTGCATTAGCACAACATCTTAAGTACCTTCATTACCACTGACCAATCCACTGCAGTCTCACTCACACTACTGGTAGGCTGTTGCATGCAAACAGTCAAGTACATTTGCATGACCCAAAAGTCTGAAATCTTCAGTATAGCAGCAAAAGGGCTCCCTTAATTTATGATAAAAGGGTTGAGATTGAAATGGTCAATTATTTTACTGTTATAATCTCTTATAACTGTAAATAACATCAAATAATCAATCGTGAATCAAAATTTTTAAGGAAAATAAACTTCACAAAGGTAATAGTAATTAGCATGAATGTTCAACCCCCACAAAGCTTCTTAGCAATAACTTACTCCAAGTTCACATTTCATAAATTTAAATTGTTTTATTGACAGTTTTATTGAATGCCTGATGACTATTTTCTGCAAGTACTGCCCTCTTTATAATTAGGAAACTTTGAAATTATGCAGAAATCCAATGTTATTTTGACAACTACACCTTTGCTATAATCATAGTTAATCGATAGTCCCCTCGATTAACTATGCTATAATGTAGAAGACAATTAACCAGTACATCAATAAAAATACTTCAGTCTTTCTCAAGGTTTATGTCAAGGGGGACATGCATGTGACAACAAATTTAATAATAACAAACATATGAAACATAATTTAATAATTGCCCCCTTGTGGACTCTTCTTCCTAATCTTCTGATAAACATGCTATAACTTCCCTACGTTAATGTACATTTTTTACCAAATAGAAAATTACATTTTGTATTTATTGTTTCAAGGCATTACATTTTTCCCCTGGTATATATTAATTACCAAGCTGTTGTTGGCTAATTCGATTAGACACTGTTACTAAGGACACAACTAGTTCTTCCCAAATAATTAGGCAGCTACGAAAATGTGTTCCACTGAATAGTAATACATGAAAGTTGTCTTATCAGGAAAGATTGGATATTCTACGTTGGCCTACCCTAGAGAAGCGAATAGAGTATCTATCACTGGTGGAATCTTTTAAGACAGCTCATAGTTTAAATGGTCTAAATGCATCTTTGTTTACTTATGCTAGTGCCTTTCATCCTCTCTGCTCTCATCATTGTTACAAATTGAAAGTCAAATCAGCTAGATTAAATTGTTACAAGTACTCACTCTTTGTCAGAATCGTAAACCTGTCGAATAAACTACCTAAAGACGTAGCTGAAGCAGAATCTCTATGAACATTTAAGACCAAAGTCAAGAATTACCTTTTTAAATAATATTGTAAATAGTTTTTATAGTAAGTATTGTATATAGTTAAATCGCAACTTAATGTTCCCATATTTTATATATTCAAATAGATGTTTAACTAGATGATTATTTTGGAAACACCCTCGATAGGGCTAACCTCTGGTGTCTCCCTTTCTTTCAAATTATTATTTTTTGTTTTGATTTGATTGAATAAAGTATTATTATTATTAAGATTCACACCAAGTTGTTTGAAATTAAATTAATTCTAACCAAGAGAT